ACCTACCTACCTACCTGCCTACCCACACAGACATCCACAGCCATGCAAAGAGAGAAATGCACACATACGTATACATATACAAGTAGATAGACACATATTGCATAAAAAAGGGGTCCCGGGGGATCCTAGGGTTACCGGAATAGGATGGTAAAGTGCGTAGAGAAAAGCGTGTTTCTGAATCAGGGGGTGAGGAGCGACGTGGAAACTTAAACCCACAATAAATCCGAGAGCGGAAGCGACCCGGAACCTAGACCGTTGGGAAGGCGGGAAGAAGATGAGTTGGCCGCCAGCAGCGCACTTGTCGCTAGGCTTCGGGGTTTCGCACTTGGGGTCTTGAAGACGTTATTGCAAGTTTTAGTACTGCACGTATACAACTATATGACTAAGCATGCTAGAATTCCAATTTCGACATCGCAACGGACGGTTGCTACTATCAGTGGGCGGGGCATGTGTCTGTCATCATTATCATTGACACTACTGATCTAGAAGGCCGGGTGTTTTCTCCGTTGAGTTTGGTGTTGCCGCCTTCGGGTTTGATTTCCGGTTTCTGATCTGCGACTGCTGGACCCCGCTAGCTTGAATCCCCGAGGCTTAAAACCCCCAGAAACCCCAAACACCAAGCCCGCGGGTTGCCGAGCCGCCTTGTGTGGCTTGTCCCAGTTTCGAGAGTCGAGAGCGCTAACGCTGCAGGCAGGAGCAGGTAGCCGATGAGAACAGGCAGCTCCGGCAGTGCTGGCAGCCAGGATGGCAACTGGATGTCGGAAGCGAGAAGTGTTGGACGCGGGTTCGCACGTTTGATGCAGAGGTGGTTGCCAGATTCTGAAGAGAAACCAAGGCAGGAGGAGTTACAAGAAGTCTCGGTTTTGGAGGACAGGGCTCCAGCGACGGTAAGTGGAGCCCCAACCTGTCCCATCATTCTCCTGAACAAGATATTGTATCGTGGTGCGGCCACCAGTTGACCAGATAGATGTAAACCTTGAGAGGCAACATGGAGTTCTAGGCTGCATGCATGCGGGCACGTATGCATGTACGCATATATGCATGTATGTATGTGCACATGTGTGCATGTGTGCACGTATGGACATATGTATGTATGTCTGTATGTATGTCTGTATGTATGTATGTATGTATGTATGTATGTGTGTATGTACTTACTATGTATGTAAGTATGTACGTGTGTGTGTGTGTGTGGCTATGTACCCATGTATGATCCC